TCGAATTTCTTTGGATAATTCTTCAGGGGTGTACAGAGCGAGGTAAAAATCTTCAGGGGTAATCAAATTTCTTTGGATAATTCTTCAGTGGTGTACAGAGCAAGGTAAAGAAATTCTTTAGGTTTCTTTTACTTTTGTAAAATTCTTCAGGGGTAATCAGGAAATAAAAATCTTCAGGGTGTTTACGTAGGAATAAAAAAACTCAATCCTCGATAGGGGGGKGTGCGCATATTAAATGGAATAGCCCCTTACAAGATTGCATTGCGGCCAGCGTGTATCCAAGAAATGTTTGATGGAATTTTCGTACACCTTCTAAACAATCCATGTAGGTCATTAATAAGCTATAGACCACTTGCAGCACGTTTGATATGAATGCATAACAATTGGTTTTCAATTCTCAGGAGTTTTTTCCCCTCGAAATTGAGCTGCTTTGACGTCACATGGTATTCTGTACATCGCAACATCGATTCCCTTATGCTCTCACAAATTCAAAGACAGATAATTACATATTGTCTTTTGTTAAACAAATAGAATAGCCCACTTCCGAGATACGCTTCGCTTGTCAAGTGAAAAGGTTTCAGTTGGAGGCTCAGTGCTAAATTCAAGTTATTCTTTTCTCTTGTCACGAATGACTGAGCATTTAGCACGGAGCCTCATAGTCAACTTTAAGAAGGATCTATTGTGCCATTATGCAACATTAAGTGCAAGGCGCGGTGACAAATACTAGCAAAACACCATAAAAGGAGACGGAGGATTAACGGCAAAGCAGTGTTGTAAGACATTGGTCGAACAAGCAAAGACTTCTCTTTACAAGTACAAGTATATATCCCAAGGTAAGTAAGCACTTGAAAATGGTTCGAATGTTAAGTTTCATGCTAACCCTCCATTACAAAGAAAACCTTTGCAGTTGGCGATTATTTTGTTCTAGCTTCATAAAGTGGTTGAAAAGTGTAACAGCCATACATTTCAGTCTTTAAAATTAGTACGATGCTCCGGCGGAATATTCAAATTTTGTTGATGAATTTCTTCTCCGTAAATGACATTCTCTTGCTTTAAAAACTCTTAATACTCTCAACTTTTCATCTTCACTGTTTATCCATAAAACATTTATATTGAAAACTGACGTCCAAACCGCACACGAACCCAACCAAATATCTCTGTCTATAGTACCCTGCGAGCAGAGTCTCCTTTTCACTCCTCTCGCCAATAGAGGAGTKAAAAGGAGACTCTGCTCGCAGGGTATGTCTATAGTAACCTTACGATTAAAACTAATTTTCAAATTTCAGGACTTCAAAATGAATCGACTGATAATATTGGTGTTCGCAGCAGTACTCTTCACTGTGGCTACTGCAGATCGTTATTTTGACGATTACAACCAAGAATACGACGGTAATCATACTTTAAAGATAGAACATAACTAATTTGTGGCATGTTAATGTATTTAAAAAAACATTCAAATTCAGTATCGATACCTTGAAATGGCCACTGGGCTAATCAAAGTGAAAGCGTGCGGAGACGCGGCAAGCTTTCAGATCGAACCCTGAAACAACCAATGGGCTGATCAAAATCAGGGCACGGCTAACACACAGATCGAACCCTGAAACAACCGATGGGCTGATCAAAGTCAGGGCACGGCCAATTCACACGTTGAACTCTGAAACAACCTCTGGGCTGATCAAAGTCAGGGCACGGCCAATTCACAGGTCGAACTCTGAAACAACCTCTAGGCTGATCTAAGTCAGGGCAAGGCTAACTCACAGGTCGAACTATGAAACAACCTCTGGGCTGACCATAGTCAGGGCACGGCTACTCGCAGATCGCGACGAAACCCTTAAACAGCGTCTGGGCTGATCGGCTAAGTCAGGGCATAGCTAAACCGAGTCGCAGATCGACTTTGGGGGGGGGGGGGGGGGGGGGGGGGGGGGGGGGGATTTAACGGTTTAAATTTATCTTTGTAGGGTATCCTAAATATCATGCATAGACTGTTGCTACGAATGATAGTACGAATTCAAAGAAATCATAGTCTTTCATAATTTGCATTTTCAGACTTGTCAGGAGATGAGAGCATGGCAAAGAGGGGTGTCTCATGCCTGTGTACAAGTGACGGCCCAAACACAAGAGGCAATACGTTGTCCGGCACAGTCTGGATGAAAGCACCTGGCTATTCAAACAACGGGTGCCCGACAGGCTGGAAATTTTGCGGGAAGTCACGTGGTTTCTTCAGCGATTGCTGCAAGCAGTAGTAATGAATTTGTACATCCAATCATATATTATAATATGATCATGATTGAAATATTATTGTACATCCAATGTCATATATCATAATATATATATATGAACTAAGGGAATAATAAATGAATTTGTGCATCCAATATGTCATTAGACTTTCAAGTCTTCGATAGATTGTAATATAGGAATATCGAATAGCAAAATAAACTTTCAACACTCGATTTATTCGTAGTACTGTACTGAATGATTTTTCTTGTCAAATGCATGAAACATTGTTCGCTATAAGCCATTCCGAGGTTGGGTGAAAAAATTATATTGGTGGAATTGGCATTTTTCGTGGCTGTTTTAGGAAAACGAAATAGACGCCATCTTGAACATAGGTCTCATTAAACAGCCCCACAATGCACTGCAATGCCAACTCGAAACAGTTTTGTCTAGGCGTACCCTATCACGAATACTACTATCCGTATATACAAATGAGACAAACAAATAGTCTTTTTAAAAATATAGCCAGCTATTAGGATATTCAGATTTTATTCATAATAAAGAAATAACCCTTACAATTTTTGGTGACATCTATGAATAATTTAACAAGTTGGTTTACATTTTATTATAGCTCGGTAACCATCATTTTCAATATTACTTCTCTTTACAACTTTTGGAAGGAAATTTTTGTATTTTTGTACAAGTTTCAAATAATAGTGTATTATTCTAGTCACTAAGCGTACAGTTTAAGTTCACTGAAGACAGTTACATTAATAAAGACGGTAATAGTTAGAAGGCAAAAAATTTTCCCGCGTATCTTTTGGAGTGCCTCAGTGTTCTTTTTGGGACCCTTACCTTTAACTACATAAATTCAGTTCCTGCCCTTCTTAGCTCAAGCATTATAGTAGGACAATATCAGCAAAACTCAACAGTTTCAAATATCAACAGTTTAGTATAAAGAACAAAATAAATAGAAATGTACATGAACAGGAGTGCCTCACAGCTCTATTATTGGGCCATAAAGAAGTTTTTAGCATCAAACTAAATACTCTTTCGGCGCCAATAAATCTTAAATAGATTAAAATCGTATAGAAATAGGTAATATACATACTCTAAACTTTACATATTGACATCACAGTATAAATATAGCTCATACAAGTAGTAAATGTTGGATTGGCCAGATACAAAACGAGCAAGGGACTGGGGCGAGTTTTCATTTCTAATGTAATTAGCAGAAATATTTTGTCATTTGAGAACTCTAGCATATTAGTAAGTCTGGCAAATTTAAACACGACTCAATGGAAAGAATCAGAGACTTACAAGCTTTCACAAATGTCGAATATTTTATAGGATGTATGGTCATAGTGGGGACGCGTGGTTTTGAAATGGCCAATGCGTTTTATGAATCAAGTTGCCGCTATGTTGCATTGGTGATTTTCCAAAAAACCTTCGAGCTCCTTAACTTCCTTTCTCATTTCTGCAATATCGTTTTCAAGGCTCTTGTTTGATTGTTGAAGTTCAGAAGCAATCTAATAAAAAATGAAAATGAAAATGAAATCAATGTCAATTTTTTTAAATATATCTAATTTTCCAACTGAGAACGCATAACCTACATTAAGGTTTCAGCTAAGTCTGTACTTTTGTTTTATTGATATAAATTTAAAAAATATTAGAACTTATTTGCCACGAATATATTTAAGGGAGGTAACCGATTTATAGTCTTGTGACGTATTTCCTGTTCTGTTAGGAGATCCAGCGAAGCCCAAAAAAGACACCAACAAATACAGGAATTTTTCATACATAAATTCACACTACACTATACCATCAAGATGCACTCTAGGTGTCCTATACATTCTAAACAAAAAATACACAATAATCCCCAATGTTTTAAAATGAAAATCCATATTGGGCTTCCTGTGTATTAAATTTTACCTTCTCAAGGACCTCAATTTTTTCCCGCCTTTTTTTTCTACATCTGTTCGCAGCCTCTTTGTTTCTTTCTCTCCGAATTCTTCGTCGTTCTTCGTCGTACTCGGAGAGCTTTGAAAACATATCAAAAAGAGTACAATAAAAATTAAATACTAAACGGAAAACAGAAATGAAATTTTCTTTTTCATTTCTCGGCAGAGGCTAGAACAGTAAAACTAAATAATCGTACCATTAGTTTTCGAGAATATGCCGATTTTTTCCGGTTTTTGCTCGATATGGGGGCGTTGTGCGACATTGGCCTTTCAAATACAAAAACCAGCGATGGCGATGCCAGTGTCAACCTCCCGCATCAGTAGTTACTTCTATAGTAACGAAATAGTAGTTATAATGAATAACGAAATCAAAAGCTACAATGTTCAAAACATGAATTTTCTTGTTCTCAATATACTTCCTGTACTTCTCGAAATTTTATTAAATTATTCCAACAATGTTATTAGACACGTGACTTATAAATGTAAATTTTTTTGAAAATTCTTGTTTTGCTGAGTAAGCATAATATTCCAGTTTCGAGTTTTCTTTGTCAGCCTTAGTCTCGGTTGTGATTTATAATATTCAGCTATTCAACCAAAACCCGTAAAATTTTAATCAACTCGTATTGTTTCGTAGTACATACTTTCCTTATTATATAACGGGCCTTCTAATAAAAGAAAAGAACACATTTGTATACAATCGAGGCTAAGACTGAGCAAAGGCGAACCTGAAATGGGAGTATTCGGCATTTAGCTAAGAGATTTTAAATAAACCCTTTCGACGTTCAGTTTTGGATTCATTTATCCCTTGGAAAAGGTGGTCTTGTAAACGCCTAAGCTTCTTTTGACGATCGAGGTTTTAAATAAATAAATAAATAAATAAATAATATTTGCGACTTTAACAAAGATAACGTTTAAAATTGAAAAAAGACTTAGTCTGGAGTCCAAAAACTGGATGAAAGAATAAGATAAAAAAATACAAAGCAAAGAGACTCAGTACCACTTTTCACTGTCCGAAGGTATTAACATTTATGCTTTGAAAATTCAGTATTTATCCAAGAAAGTTGCAGTTGATTTCGTCTAGTTTAATTTACTTATGATTGATAAGGTATTTCTAGAATAGCACATTTTGTTTTCAATTTAAAATGAAATTTGACGTTGCACATATTACATTTTCAATACTTTTTTCCAAGAAAAACTTCTGTACGTTTATTCTCGATTGTGATTGGTTACTTCACAGTAGAAATACCCACGTGACCATAACATGTCTGTCTACAGTTTGATTTCTAAGAAACGATTCAAGATGTCAACAACGATCGAAATCCCTAGTTTCTTTGGCGCTTATTTGGGTTTTTAGAAATTTTACCGAGATGAGGAGTCCTTGATTGGGATTGGTCAATACAGAGAAGAGGTAAACATGTCACGTGACTTAATTAGCAGATGATAATGAATTTAATTTCTGTGAAAACGTGGAGAATTCAACTTCTCAACAAAATCATTGGCTTTTAATTTGCATTTTCCATGAACTTGGCTTCTGAGTAGTTCTTGTTCGGGATTGGTTGATATGGAAATACCCTAACGACAATCACGTGGCATATCAATGTGGATTCTAGGAAACTGATAACGGTCATAGATACTACGACAACTTCAATGATTATTGCTGTTACATAAAGCCATTGTTATATGACAATTTCTCAGAAAAATCCAAAGCGAGCTTGAATGTCAAGGGCATAGTTCCTGGAATTCACATCTCGAAAAGCCCGCTAGCTCCAAAAGAAACTAAACATTTTGTAAACAAAGACGTTTTCATACACAAAACGTAAACGTAACTTCCAAGGTTTTCGAAGTTTTTGCAGTGAAATAAGTTAAGCTGGCTCTGTCTAGAACTTGGTTCGGTATGTCAGTAAAAATACGAGTAAACCAGTAAAACTGATATTTACAAGCCTTTTTCGTTTAAGACTGGCTTGGGTTTTTGAGTTTGCAAGGCGCYCAAAGCCGTGACATGAGAACTAAACTCGGAGAAAAAGATAGAATAGAGGAAGAGCATATTATAAGAACACATCTTAAAAAGAGTTTGTATACACACACAGACACACACAGACACACACACATATATATATTAAATTATGCTGTAATATCTTTGTGGTTAAACATCTTTTGTTTCACGAGTCGATGTAATTTATTGTTGGTATCATTCAATTACGTTTCGAGGTTTTAGCGGGGAGAAACTGTAGTTCTCGTGCACTAACAATGATCCCTAGCTCTTGAAAAGAAAAGAAGAAGAAGAAGAAAAAACTGTAAACAAAAACAAAGTACTTGTATTCTTACCTTTTCTACAAGTTGTTTTTCTCCTCTTTCTAAGTTTATTTCTTGAAGTCCTTTAGTTACTCTTCTAGTTTGAATCGTCGAACGAAGATTTTCTTTTACTGCGGACATTATCAATATTTCAAACTTGTACAGATTTTAGCTCTTTAATCTGCTCTCTTCTGATGTTTCTCACTCTAGTTCCTTTTTTCTAGATTCCTTTTATTGGCTTTATATCCGATCCAGCAAAGTCTGTTTTTCCTGTGTAACAAAAGCAAACACATTTTAACAACCCGCTATTTCTGTGAATTCAGTGAGCCTTCTACATCTATACTTTTTAAAATACCTATATTTCTAACAATATATTGGTTTTGTTTGACGCTGTGTGAATTTGACGTAATACTCTATTTGAAAGCCAAGCATTTATTCTGCTAATTTTTTTTCAAAGTTAAGTCGAAATGCTAATTTTTTTTCAAAGTTAAGTCGAAAACGTGAAGCTATTTTGACATTTTCTATGTCCCTGTGTAAGACAATTAGTTGGTGACTATGATTGCAATATTTTCACTAAAAATGTTCGATGAGACGGCAAGCCGCTCCCTTCTTTACGTATGCGTTTACTTCCTTCGCATTTCGCTCGGTTTTTCCGTGGGTGGAACCAACGCCAATGAACACAAATTTACCGGCCGACCGTGAACGAAAATCTTCTAAAATTTGATCTAAAAAAATATATCCTTGAAATTATCATGATTCTAGTGTGCCATGAAAACGTACCGCAAGCTGCAAAACTCTTTCTTCAAAGAGAAAAATTCACGCTGCTTCTATTTCAATTTCAAATGATTGGGGGAAAAAGAAGAATATACTAAAGCAATACTCTAAATATGGAACTTCCTCTCTGCAATCTTACCCGTCTCCTCCTCTGTCCAAATTTCAAATTTTCGTCCTTTTTTATATCGCCTGGTTAAATAAGTTATTCCCTTATGTCGTTAGTTTTCACCATATGGATAATAAATCTACCCTATATTATCCCCAGAATTTTCCACTAAGAGTCATTTTCGGTTTCAAAGCATCTCAACTGAGAAAGTGAATGAAAATCTTCCAAATAAAGGTTTTTGACTCATTTTCCCCTTCGTACGCTATTCCCTCTTTTTGTCTTCAATTCGAGCTAATCAGTCATATCAAAATAGTTTGCCTTCTAGTGCTTAGCACCAAAAATGTTATTGCAATCAGTAAGTATGCTTGCCTTGCCAAAGATGCCAATATGCCGAATGCAACCGCTGAAACCGGAACTACCGAAGTATCCTTTTGTAAATCATTTACAGGCCTATGCCATGCTACTTAGTTATCATCATCTTAAAAAATAAAGTACTCAGTTTTTATGTTTGAGAAATTTGCCTTTCATTAATCGTATTTGGCAAATATTTTTTTCAGTGTTTAGGTACTTGCATTCAACAAAAGACTGACTCATACCTTGGGGCTATAAACCTCTGTGTAGAAGAAGAGTTTAAGCATCAAACGCCCATCTTCAGAAAATCTTGGTCGTAAAAACTTTTCTTTTTCTCTCAGGCAAAGTTGCATTACTGGCTTAAGTTTGGCTCAGTAGGATTTTGAAACTCGAATTTAAAATATATTGCAAACGGTGCAAAATTTCCATAACCACGTTATAGTAATATTTTTTATCGATGATACTTTTGATAAATCTCTAAAGGTATTTCAGCGATATTTGCGACTAAGATTAAACTGAAGACTATTTTATGAAATCGGAGTTTTCCAAGTTCCAAGTTTTTTGAGGAGGAAAGTACAGTACACCGCACGTCCGCGCTTTTGAGCTATAGGCGTGTGTATCCGATGCAAACAAAGTTTAACATGCATTGTATAACATCTCGTACTATGTTGATTACCTTTGAATATATAAAGTGCAGGTACCTGTTGCAATGCGCTATAGTAGTGATGTAGAAGCTTTTTGTAGCTAAACCGTGCACAATTTAAGAACACTGTTTATTTTGATGCTCTTTTTATCTGGCTTTCTCCAATTTGTCCAATTTATAGCAAACAAAGCAAGTCATTGTTGTACATTTAAAGGAAAAATAAGGCAGTTCTTGGAAAACAAAAATTGGGGAAATTAGAGGGTATGACGTGATTTCTAAATTAACCACGTCACGTGGTTTTCCTGGTAGCTCGAAGAATGTACAGTCTTGAAATCGCATGCAACGTATTACATATGGCCATTGGATACTATCGACCCTGGCTACAATTTCCTTCAGAAAGGCAATTTTAAAAACAGCGATACCAATCGTTCATTTGTGGAGCTGAAAACCCCTTGAAAACCCTAGGAAAACAATTTATACAATTTTATCAATTGTTTTGTAGTTCTTTAAAATAGAACCAATGCAATGAGAAAGCTCCACTTCATAATGTCTATTTATATGTACAAGTCAATCACAAAAACCAATTTCAGTGTTGAGATAAGAATTGGGGAATATTTCTAACAATTTACATTTTAATTTACTTTATATTACAAGATTTTAAACTCTGTTTGCTTTGACCCCGAGGAAATGACTTACAAATCGCGCGTGCCGTCTTCCCAGTCGAATCTTTACCCGTCTCACCCGGGTAAACACAAGACGATATCGAAAAACAATAGTCATATCCGAATACTGGGGTTTCCCCCTAAACTTCTCTTTATCCAAGAATGCTTTCCTAGAATCGATATTTCAAAGACCGGATAGTCCTACTGATGTTATAGGTAAGTAATGTTCCCCCTGATGGGACTTTGTTTTTGAATTATTTCAATATATTTCATTTTGATAATATATCAGTTTTTTTTGGTTGTTGTAGTTTTTATGCGTACAGAATTATATTTTATAATAAAATTGAACAATAAAAACATTAAAAATGTGACGACGTTTCGACGTTGCACAACGTCGTTATCAAGTCAAAAATGAACTAGAAAAGTAGAATATATATGAAAATAATAACAATATTCTACTATTTATATTATATATAATATAAATATATATAATATAATATTCTATTCTATATTTTCTGCTTTTCTAGTTCATTTTTGACTTGATAACGACGTTGTGCAACGTCTAAACGTCGTCACATTTTTAATGTTTTTATCGTTCARTTTTATTATAAAATGTTTAAATAAGAAGTTACTTATTATAGAATTATAATTTGTATTTTCTTTTAAGGAAAACGTTGACTTAAACAAAACAACGGAGTGCTTCATCCTCGTTGCAATCGCTATCCGGTATGGGTAGAGTAGAATTAAATCAACCAAAACGACTTCCTCTAATCCCCTCGTTTTCTCTTCAAGTCTGTTCTTCTTACAGACAAAGGTGTCCTTTCAGTGAGATGTGTTGCTAGATGTTGTTTTACTAAGGGAATTCCATACATTAGGGATGGGCCATTTCATTTTTGATTAGAGAGGGTTACGAATTTTCAGTGTGCTCGATCACTCAGATTTTATTTTTTTAGCTACACTGGCTAAAGTCGATCATGCATGATATTTTATTGGAGTTTTAAAAAGACCTTGTTTGATTATTTTTTTAATGGATTTCGTGCTCCCCCTAATTGAAATCCAAATGGTCTGCCCCTATCATGCTGAGTCACCTTCTGTTTGGTTGAATGAGATTCCCGTTTAGGCTGGAATAACGACTGCTGCACGAACAACAAAGAAAACGCCTGTGAAGTAATAAAAATATGTTAAAAAAAGTCAGATAACAAGAGAAAGCACAGGAAAAAAGACAGCCTTAATTACCTGCCAAATAAATTTCTCAGTAACATTTCCTCCGTGGCCTTGGGGTACCCAAGTACTTCATGGAAACCTAAAATAGAGCCTTCGCAGATTTTATAGATCTCCTTAAGCCTTAAATTGCAGGCCATGAAGTACAGTACTAACCGCTAGGCTATTTTTATACTGGCAATTTCTACAGTAGATCCTTACTTCGTCGGTGTTTTTAACAACGTATTTTACTGTTACGCTTTAACTTCCTCAAAACAGCAAGAAAACCAGATACATTAGAAGCAGACACAGACACTATGCACCAGTCTGACACCGAACCAAACATAGTATATATACAGGTTGATGGATTTCGGAAAGCATTGATGACACTCTTTGACCCGTTTCTATCGTAATAAAAACATGTCAGGCTAATAGCGGATTAATTATTCGCTAACACTAAGTGATATCCTTCGTTATAAAACGTTTAAAATCCCGCTGAAAAAACATCGTCATCTTTAGCCGATATGTACATGTCTAGGAAATTACACCGGAAGTGACCTTAAACGTCTTGGAAGTCATGGGGGAGGGGAGAGGGGGAACAGAGGGGGGAAAGGAGAGTAAATTTGCAATTTGAATTTTTAACACCAAAATATTTACTAAAATCAAAAACACATCTCTTTACTTATTTTTAAAGAAATTGGTAAAATTATTATAAATATGAATCCTTTTTTGATCTAAAAGACAAAAAATACTTTGAAATAATAAATTATGTATATTCACACTTTACTCAGTATCGTTATTTTTCTCTAAAATATAACACTAAAATATACCACAAATATAATTTAATTAAATACATATTGTTTTATTGACTGCTGTCATCCCTAAATTATTTTTACGTCCCTTCAGAAAACGTTTTTGCAAACAATTTCTTACCTGAGATGTAATGTTAATGGCATTGGTAATGATGGTGATGCAGAACACAATGTTGATAATGGTTAACGACATCTCTTTGATGCCGCTGGTGATGATGGTGATACATATTCATAATGTTATTTCTACTGACATAACTTATTTTTTGCATTGGTAATGATGGTGATAGTGTTGATGCAGAACACAATGTTGATAATGGTTAACGACATCTCTTTGATGCCGCTGGTGATGATGGTGATACATAGTCATAATGTTATTTCTACTGTCATAACTTATTTTTTGCATTGGTAATGATGGTGATAGTGTTGATGCAGAACACAATGTTGATAATGGTTAATGATGCCGCTGGTGATGATAGTGATACATAGTCATAATGTTATTTCTACTGTCATAACTTATTTTTTGCATTGGTAATGATGGTGATAGTGATGGTGATGCAGAACACGATGATGTCATTGATGATGGCTAATGACGTCTTTTAGACACAGATGATGATGATGATGATGGTGATACACGACCATAATATTATTTCTACTGTCATACCTGATTTGTTTCCTTACCACTTGACTTCCCTGCCACACTGAATCAGCTATCCTATCTACACTAGGTACACACCAGATTATTGTAACTATTGAACTGAACCTGTTACATCTTCATGAAGAATTTTGAAGTCTTTTGGCTTAGTTCCTAGACCAATTCTCTTTGTGGTGGTGCTAAGATGTTTCCCAGCCAGAAGGAGGAGAGGGATCAGAATTAGGAGGATCACAAATACTGTCAGTACGATACACCCAATGGTCACTAGTAAATAAAAAAAACAAACAAATAAATGAATAAAAAATAAAATAAAAAGAGATTTGTGGAAAAAATAAGTGTTTGATATCATGACGATTTCTATAGCTTCCCAATGGAACCTCAATAGTAAAGTTGGCCAAAACATCATTTGATGAAAAGTTGGGACTTACTTCTAGAGCAGGATGATTCTCCTTCACCTGATGTCATGAAATCATTTTTACAAGGGGAGCACTGGGTAGACCTTTAAAATGATTATGAATAAATAAGTATTAATTAGTACTCTAATGTTTGAGGGTCCACAATGGGCTTGGCAGGATTTGGGATCGCCCTTCTTTCAAAGGTGGGATTCAGGACGACTGCCAAGACAATGGTGGAATTGCCGGCAAAAACAAGCAGTATAGCTGGATCTGAAAACTCCTATCCTGGACCCTGATGCACTTTTTTATTAAATTTATTTAATATTCAAAAACTCAATAGACCTCCTACCCTGATTTGGAAGAAAAGGTTCCTTTTGCACAAGGATAGCATGTTTTGCTACCAAGAGAAGAGCTATAATACCCTGGACTGCACCTAAATTAATAATCAAATAAATGATAATTATTAAAAGTCCATCTAACTCCAAAACAATGGGAAGATATTTCTATTTTTTTCTAGGGGTGAAGGGGAGGGGGGGGGGGCAGGTTTTTATGGAAATCAATGTAAAGTAATGGTAAGATAATGCTAATGCATAATTTTATCTATAATGGGAACATTATAGAACCTAAAATAATACTCCTTCTTACCTTTTACAAGTGATGGTTGTGATATTTTGCACTCTTTCTGTGCTGTACGCCCCTTTTGGACAAGGAGAACACATCACACCTTCCAGTACAAATGACCCAGCTGTGCAGTAAACTGTTCAAACAACAATATATGTAAAATATCAATAGAATATAAAAGCTTGTTATTCTTCTTGTCAACATTACAGACTACTGGTATCTAAATAATAAAATGTCAGAGTTCCACGTCATTGATTGCAAGGTGTATATCATGCATTGTACTGTGCATGTCATGCTTTGTAAGGTGTGTGCCAGTGTTCTACTGTGCTATTAACCTGGTGTGTAGTTATTGAAGTTGAAATTTAATTTAAATTTAAATTTGAAATCAAATTGAAATTATTTTGATAGGTTTTGCAGAGGAAGAAAAACTGAAAAACTAGACCTCAAATCAAGGAGGAGACCTAACAAACTCTACTCAAAACTCTCCAGCTGCAAGGAAAAAAAGGCATAAATGTACTACTGCTATATGTCATGCATAATTTCCAACAACACTAACCTGGACAGTGTGGATTAATAGTGCAGTTGGTGCAGTTGACAGTGGTTAAAGAGTGGCTGTGTATTGGTGGCAGGTGAATACTACTGTTTACTCTATTGCAACTAAAGTAAGAACTCTGCAGAAAAAGCAAGTATACCTGTATGTTACAGTTGGTTTCACATTACTTTACGCCTTCGGGCTCTGAACTATGAAACTTAGAAATKAACAAGTTATTGACCAACTTTGGAACTTAGCTGGTTGTGAACTTCAGAACTTAGAGCTTGGTTTAGTATATGGAATTTGAAGTTCCTGAAAAAGAATATCTCAAAGGAAATCCAGAAGCTACTTGAAAATCAAGTTTGTTTGCTGCAGAATGAGCCAACCAAGTTCTGAACTTTGGCAGGAAGCTCAGAAGTTCATAACCAATTTTTCCAAGTTCCAAAGTTGGTCGCCAACTTGGGAATTTCCAAGCTTGATGGTTCGGAACCCGAAGGTGTAAAGTACACGTAATGAGAAACTGACATAAATCAATATGATCCAATCTCAAGCTTTTAACAAATCTCTTTTCATTTCATTCCAATCCAACCATCTCATATCATCTTTCAAATTTTATCCCATTTTATCTATTCCTATTCTACCCTAAACCATATCATATCAGCTAATCTGATCTCATCCGGTCTTATCTCATCCAGCCCCCTCTTATATCCCATCCTATCCCACCCTATCCCATCCCATTCCTGCCATCCCACCTCATCTGATTTGATTAAATCTAGAAATTTATAAATCATTTATCGTACTCTACATGTCTATACAGTACCATACTTATTTACCAAGAGAGTATACGTACCTGTATATTTATTAAAGATGCCTCTCGTTCAGTCCTTAAAACAGGACCACTGGAAGTTCCATAGATAGAGGAAAATGAACAACTGTCAATGTGCAAAACAACCTGTTTGCTCACTACTAGAAGTGACCCAGACATGACATCATTGTTACCAAAAACTGACCCAGTGATATTGGCCATGGTTGACTGTGTCATTTTTATAATACTTCCCGAGTTGTTCATAAAATGTGAATCCCTTAGGACTGATTGACATCTGTCAATCAAAATCAGTATTTGTTCCACAGTGACATTGTTAGAAAAAAAATTCAACTTTTCCATGTGGATAGCAGTGATTTCTTTTGCTGAGATCAGTTGTGCATTGTTAAAAGAAAATGTGGCTGTATTCAATATTATGTTGCTATTGAATCCTGTAAGACCTGATGCCGACATCAATGGTAGAAGTGGTTGATACCCAACACAATTTGAGATTGTAGCATTCCACAGTTTAATGCTTGAGCCAAGGCCAATAATACTGAATGGAAGGTCTGTAACTATTGAATTCACAATAGAAACATTTGCAATAAGAAGATTTAGGAGTACTGGACTTGGAGATGTGCTTGTCCATTGGATATTATTAAAGATAATATCACATTTAATAATATCAGTAGACAGTGTTACTTGTACTTTTTCACTTGTGCTATCAAAAAAAATGGAATAAACAAATAAATAAAAGACAACAAAATATGCAAATTGCAAGATGAAGAAAAAGTGAAAAAATAGGAAGAAAATTAAACACACAAAAATTTGCACATAAACAAAAATTAATACTATACTCTTCAGTTTTCTCGACGCATAACTCACCCAATTCCTTGTATTACAAGTTTTTGAAGATGATTTGTCCCGCAGTCCACCTTGAAAGACTCAGCTTCATATATTCCAGGGAAAAGATTGACAACTCCACTGGTGCTGTTCTCTTCCAAAATCCTCCCAATTGCATAACTCACAGTTTTACATGGAAGTCGTTTCTGGCCACAGCTGGGGATATCGGAGCCATTTTTCCCATTCACAAATATTTCAGTAACGTTCGTATTTTGAAACGTTGCAGAAGTTGAGCACATTTTGATGAAGAAAAAACCGAGTGTAAAAAGACAAAAATACATCATCTTGAACTTGAAGAAAAGCAGATTCAAATACTTTAACAATGAGAATTATCTCTATTTTTGTTATTGAATACTTCCTGGGGCATTATATAAGGGGGGAAATATAAAGAAATTAGGATTTTTTTCGTTCCACCTCGACCAGTCACGACTGGATTGGAATTTGACTGAGAACGTCTCCAGAGCCTGCGCTGTTGCCAGCCAGCGAAGCCCACCAACTCCACCAATAAAAATTTTTTAACTCAGAATTAATTTCAACAATTTGGGCTTTTAAATTTTTTAACGTACGAAGAAAACTTGCTTAGTTTTTACTGAAATCAATAGAGGCATTAGAAAAACTGGTGAGCTCGGTAAACACAGGAAGTTATAATTTGGTATTGTTGATTGGGTTGCCTGTGTTCTTTTGGGATCCCTGTGTTTTCACTTCACGTGTTAAGAAACAAGATGGCGGCTCGACAGATTGCGAACAGATTATTTGTAGCTCGACTGCCATGGACGGCATCTAGAGGTAATAAAACTAGTTATTTTTATAGCTTACTGTACTAGGAACAATGGCGAGTGGTTGTAGTACCGTGGAAGTCCATTACTAGACACGTATATAGAAATTCAAGTTAAGCTAACCGTGTTCTTGTTTTTACTTCATAGATGATCTTACGACTCATTTTAGTCAGTACGGCAAAATCTTGACAAGCAAAATTATTTTCGTGAGTAAAAGATGGCTGTTTTATTTATTTGCAACGTGAATCTAGCTGACAAACTGGTTTTACCTCATCCATAGGACATGAAATCAGGAAGATCAAAAAAATATGGATTTGTCTTTTTTGCCGATGAGGAGAGTTGTGAAAAGGCAGTTGCTGATGACAAACACGTTATTGATGGCCAAAAGGTAGCGCGTCTAGGTGTTTGTTTTACAGGCTCAATATATGTTTACCAATATTTAGTTTCCTTCCAGTGAAGATTGGAATGTTGTTAGACTACATGTATGTTGCCTATCACTATGATGATTGCTATCATTAATTAGTGTTAACATTATCATCATGAGTACAACCATCATCATCACTATGATCATTGCCATCATCATCATGACCACCACCACCATCATCACTATCATCATCACCATCATCATGATCACCACCACCATCATCACTATAATCATCACCATTATAATCATGATCACTGCCGTCATCATCACTACTATCATCACCATCATCATCATGACCACCATCATTATCATTATTATCACTGTAATCATCACCATCACCACTGCCACCTGGTTAGCTCAGTTGGTAAAAGCGTCAGTCTGTTGTGCGGAAGGTCATTGTACATATTTTAATTTGTTTGCATATAGGACACAGGACTTTCTGTTCAGTAAATCCCTGCATCACTATCATATTATCATGACCACTACCATCATTCTTATTACAACCAACAACAATATAACTATGCTATTATTTTCACCATTGCAATCTTTATTATTATTATTATCATTATTATTATTATTATTATTATTATTATAACTACCATAACCATCATCATGATTATCATCCCCAACATCATTATCACCATCTTCATCATCATATACATCATCATATACATCCATATTCATCAATACCATCATCATCATATTCATCATCGTAATGTTCCCTAACACCTAGTTTAATTGTGTTTCATAGGTCGCAGTAGAAGTAATGACCGCTAATTATGAATCAAGAAGAAGACAGGATAGATAATTTAGGAGCAGATAACTAAACCTTTAATGAGCTCGCATTCAAATTGCTCTGTAAAATACAGTTATCATTGCCTTAAACCTCAGTTTCAAAGCCTAAGTGCTACTATACTAGTCTAAGGGCACTTTCCTTTTGAGTTAAACTGATCTTTCCAAGCATCCAGTTCTCAAAAGGTACAAGTCAGTTCTCAAAACTGGTTTGGGCCACATTGGTCCAGCTCTAAGAATTGATGTGTACCATTTGAGAACTGGCTTCTCGGATCAATCTTTTTGACTTGATGGAAAGGGCCCTAATAGTCAACCCCAAATCTTATTGTCATTTTTTGTCAACTAAACCATTAGTTGAAGACTTGAATTTTTTTTCTCTGTGGTTTATTGATATCACCCTTCTGATAATGTTATTGGAATGTACATGTGTAGATTTACAATGTCACATGACAAACCATAAAATATAAATACCCCATGTATCCCATAATGCATTACCTCTAGTGACAGAAGGTTTTGATAAATTTATGTGTTGACATGAAACATTCCCATAATACCAACTTGTGCTGCTTTCAAATTTTATTCACTTATTAATCTTTATACAATAAAACATTGTTTAATGAACCTTTTTAATGAGGGTATAGCATATAAAGTACTGAAGCCCGTTTCCAACCTGTGTTCTAAAGGTGTTTTTGCTCCAGTGCTTACCACTCATAGGTTATTTGGCCATGAGAAGCAATGGAGTGAGGGAGCCTTTGGAATCAAGGGAAGGTTACTGGCTTTATATCTTTAATTAAGTGTAAGAATAAAATACTCTTGTGATAACCACCATTCTATTCATCAAAGTCAACTTCACTGTAATTTTCACCACCATTTGGTTTTGAAGCTCTGAAATATAAAAATAAGTGTTATAAAATTTTTTACTAGTATTCATTGTTATTGACTGCTTTCTTGTTCTTGATTTTGGCCTTTGGGCTCCAGGAAATAGCAAAAGCAATGAGTAAATATGTTCATCATAAGTATATATGATTTATCTCACCTGTAGAAATATGTGAACACTCCAGTTGTTACAGCCTGCAAAAATAGTTGACACATTATATTAATCATGTCTGTAAGAGCAGTAATGGAGTCACTGCAAATGGGCTAATCAACTCAACGGATGGAATTGCAGGTGTTTAGTTTGTATCATTTTATTTGTAGTGGGAGAAATTAAACTAGAGAATCTGGCCCTGGAGAAAAACACTCAAACCAAGGGAAAGCCCTGCATACTACTTTTCAAAGTCCCTCTGTTCTCCTAAAAAATAATATTAAAAGTTTTTTCTTACTAACCTGGAATAACGAAACAAGCCCAAATATCTGAAGGGAAAAATATGTTATAGTGCGAATCGAAAAACCGTGGGCACCTAGAAATATCCTAGGAATGTTCTATTATTCTTTGGCTAATTAGATTTGACTTTTTAACCACAACAAAGACAACAATAACGCTTCTGATTGGCTTTTGAACATTCTTGAAATATTTCTAGGTGCCGACGGTTTTTCGATTCGCACTGTAAATCCATGAGTATGTATATAAATACAAGATAAAATGAGGAGGAAGCTTCTGATACATACCTATGGGATACCATGATCCCTTCCCACCCCAGATTTAGTGTACCCGATATGTTCAAGGGCGGATCCAGCCAAAATTTTAGGGGGGGGGGGGGTAATTGAGTTTAGTGGAGGCTAATTGAGTTTCTTCCGTCAACACAACGAAAAACTATAAAAAAGGATCGTTTTTTTTTTTTTGCTGAAGGGGGGGCTTCAGCCCCCCCTTTCCCCCCCCCCCCTGGATCCGCCCTTGATGTTTGAGGTCGTTAACTTACCCCCATACACCAGCTGAATCCAATCCATTCGATGACTATACCACCAAATGCAGGACCAGCGAAGGATCTAAAATAATGGATGAAACATTATGACTGGCCACATTCAACATGCATGACTGAAACACATCCAAGGGCTGATACACTTAAATGGCTTGCTTTGCAGTTAACTGAATGCGATAGCATTTAATTTTCTTGTAGTGAAAACGCAAACAAACGTCTGTTTGTCGCATGCGCAGATTACGATATTCAGCATCATTTCTAATTGTATCTGCGTTTTTTTTATTGTTTTAGTGTGGACGGGCGAAACGCTATGAAAAGGATACCGTGGACGCTAAGCTTTCGATGCGTTTTTGTTTCAAAAACGCTTTAGCGTGATCGTGGCCTAAATGACTTGATCAAGAGATGCTTGCTTATGGTGTCAGCAGCTGTGCCGGAATATACCGGAAATGACATCATTACTGACATGCTTCAGGTCATCTGGTATCCAGAAAAGTATAGACCACACACGAGTATAAACAATAAAGCTACTCTTACCCTAAGTTAGCTGAAGCTGTTACAATACCGGATATAACACCATTTGTTGCTAGGTCTTCTGGCATACCAGCACCTCTTAAAAAATGCAAAGTTTGAGTGCAGTTAGTACACTAAATTCATAATGGATGACTATTACTATCTTATAGCTAACATATACGACGACGTACCTGGCATACATGGACATAACGGTGACTGAGGGGGGTATAGTAAGTGCTGCTGATCCACCATTGATTGCCACAGCTAGACATATCAACCATAGCTTTCTGGAAATGAGAAAGTCAATGCATTACGTTGACAATACGGAGGCCATCTTGAATGGCAAGACATTATGGATCACCCAAGGGACAAAATAATACAAGGATGCTGAATTCAGCATCTTTGTTTAATCCCCCCCCCCCCCTGGGGGAACCATGATGCCTTCATACTAACGTTAATAAAAGACGACCCCAAGATATTTGAGAAATTTCCTCAGATGTGGGACTGTTCATTCCTGTCTATATATAAGACCCAGATTTGCAATAACAAAGTTTCAGCTTATAATGTTGACTATAAAAAAATGGCAAATAGGAATTGAATGCCGTACTGCGTAGATGTGGTTGTGTTTCAGGAGCGGTCGTTTCCTACTCATACGATAACCACTTACTTTGTTGGGAGAAATGAAGTCAAGAAGGGTGCTGGTCCTATCAGAAGTAGCGAGATTCCACCAACGACAAGGCCACTGGTGAGAACGATCTCGTTGGCGCCCTGGGAATCAAAGCACGTGATTTGAATTATTATTCATCTTGATAACTTCATTATGTCTTTATTTAACGATTTCCCCGTACAAAGGCATACGTACCGTTTTGTCACAGATCCAACCAGCCAAAGGGGACAATAAGGCCACGACTGCACCATTTAACAAGAAGATTAGGCCTACTACGCCTGCACTGAGGTGAGGGTGTATCTGGAGGAGAAACATCAACCAGTAACTCATTTGATTCATTGGACTATCGATATATAAAGTCATGCAACTTTCTAACCGTCTATCAATCCATCGACTCACCAACCCACCCATTCATACATGCGTTTATCCATTTAAACAGATGTATCCATCCATCCATCCGTCCGTCCGTCCGTCCGTCCGTCCGTCCGTCCACAACAATTTTCCCAATGGATTTGAATTATCATTTGCGGGATATGAAAGTCATAGTCGTAGTAGACAATTTTGTTGACTTACTGAGTATATATACGGAGCTAAAGTGGGATCTAGTACGCTTAGATCAGTGATAAGAATGGTTTGTACTAAGGCTGTTGACGAATAAAACAAGAAGTGTTTCAGAAAGCTATGTAATAATAAGGCGGGTAACCACTGAACGTACAGTTAACCATGACACTCTGCATGGATTCTACCTACCCATCATCGCTACACCAGGAATAGAGAGTGCCTTTGTTAATGTTCGTATTGGAGTCTGTTTTGTATTCCATTCTGTTAAAGGAGGAAATACATTTCTCATACATTTGGTACTTAGTTTAGTTTATATAAGATATCTTTCCCTACTCCTCTCCCTTCGTAGACCCCTCGTAGATCCCTCGTAGACCCCTCGTAGACCGTAGACCCTTCGTTGACCCTTCGCAGACCCCTCGTGAACCTTTGTAGACCCTATATAGACCCCTCGTAGACCGTAGACCTTTCGCAGACTCTTCGTAGACCCCTCGTATGACCTTCGTGGACCCCTCATAGACCCCTCGTAGACCCCTTGTAGACCCCTCGTAGACCCTTTGTAGACCCCTCGTGGATTTACCTTTTTTAGGGAGACCAATGCACACGAGAAACAGCAGCAGCATGAACAAGCTTCCAACGGCGAGAAATGGCAGCTTAAAACCACCAACCTAAAAAACAAGCAATAGCTATAATATTACATAATGAACATCAATAAATCATGTGTCCATGGTGATACATACATGATGGTAAGATGACGTCAATAGGCGATGATGATGATGATGTGAGGATGATGGCGATGATGAGGGTGACGATAATTATGACTGTGATGTTGATGGTATATGATAATAATGATGATGATGATGATGATAATGAGTATGATAATGATGGTGATGATAAAGATGATATTAAGGTGATACAAATGATGATGCTTTTGCTGCTGCTACTGATGACGTGCTGAGGATGAGGGTATGATAACGATGATGTGATGATGGAGATGATAGTGATGATGATGATGTTGATAACAATCATAAACTTACAGTATAAAGAGCTCCTCCTAACACTGGCCCAACAGTAAAGGCAAGTTCGGTGGCAGTAGAAAGTATTCCCTTAAAGGATTAAAACAACAACAAAAATAATTTCATATCTCAACTACACATTTTAGATATTAATAGAGGCTTTGCACCATCACATGATGGCAGCCATGACAGGAGGCACGACAATGGGGTATTTTTAATTTCCCCTGGGAAACTAACTTCTTTCTCACGTAAACCAGATTACACCAGATTCAGTTGTTCGTGCCTCCTGTCATGGCTGCCATCACGTGATGGTGCAAAGCCTCTATAATGTGTTTACCAGTCTTTCTTTTCTTTTCTTTTAAGGCGTGTGTATGTGTGGAGGGGCCCAAGGGGAGGGGACTAAGACCAAAGGATCCAATTCTAGATTGAGGTTTATTTGCAAATCGTTATCTTACCATAGTAAAGCCAATGTTACTTCCAAAATCAGTCAGAATGATTGCCCGTATAGTAGTTTCACAGGCGGCGCCTCCGAGTGCTGCTAGCACCCTCAAAGTTAGACAAAAACCCACGAACAAACGACTAGAAGATGTCAAGTTTACAAATCTGTAGAGTGAAAAACAAAAATACATATAGTCTGGCTTAAGAGTAGCTTCTTCCCATGAGTAATGGAAACCATGGTGAAATCATGACGTCATCCTTGAATATGACGTCACCATAGAAAATGACCTCTTCATTTGTAATGACGTCATCATGAGATATTTCTTTATCAGATCGTGTGGACAAATAATGTTGGTTTAATAAAACATATCATGATGCAGTGGTCATGAAAATGTTGATATTGACTTGGATGGAGCAGTGACCTTCATATCCCCCACCCCCACCCCCATCGAACTTATTGTCACCAAATTAACTAGCACTATAGGCAGCATAAATAGCATCATTCATAAGCAACATTCATAAAACACTTACGCAAATAGAAACACAGTTATACCATTGGTGAATATTCCTACTAAAAGAAGCTTTTCAGCACCGAACCTTGGAATCTGTCAATCAAAACATGAAACTGAGTTATTACCGGCTATACTACTTACTAGGACAATCAACAATCGAAGAATAAAGTTACTTGTATTGACTTACCAGAATTCCGTAAATCAATGAAGCGGGAAAAGCTACCAGGGGGTAAGCGCCGAATATGAACCCAATCTCACTCCTAGTGGCACCTATACTGGTTGCCTGGGAATAATAAAACAAAAAAACAAAAGCCAAATTCAGTTTTTGTTCAAGTCAACAAAAATGGCGGCTATGTCGTCATATGCACTCCAAGAAAAAGTAAAGAACTTGACACTTCGTTAATTTTTCCACTGGATAAATTCAGTATTGGATAACAGCATGACTTTATCCAGTGGATAAGGATTTATCCGTCGGATATCGCTATCCACCTTTCGCACAACCCGGCCCAGGGCTCTTCAAATTATACGATAGAACGAAGCTAAGAAACAAGCAGCATATTTCTAAATTGAAAGTTTTGGGAAGAATATGATTGGCGGAAAAAGCTTATTCTTAGCGATAGAGTTTTCAAGAAGAAATTTATTAAAAAGAAAAAAAAAAAACTTACCTCGTTTGGAAAGAATGTGGCTAAAATACTAAATGAAGCGAAGTTGAAAAAGAAAACGATAGATAACTCGAATAGTAAAATATATTTTGCTAAAGTCCATTCGAACTTGTCCTTGTTATAGTCTTCTTCGTCGCAATCTTTTTTAGGCATGGCACGAAAATCCCTTTCAAGCGATGCTGACTTTTTTTCTGTGATGCTCATCATATTAGAACGTCCTCAGATCCAGTCTCGAATGGTTGCGTTACTTGTGTCACAAAAGAAGAAACAACGGATTGTAGTTCAAAATCATTCTGTGTGAATTTCTCTACTCAGAAGAGTTCATGATCAAAATGTTTAAACGGTATTTGATTTGAGTCAGTGGAATAAATATTAGAYGGTCTTCACCGGCATACTGGTACTATACGAGTGAATTCTACTCAAACCCGGTTGCTTTACAACTTTGGCGGGAAAATTATAGAACATGAAACCGCACTAATTAATTTAATTCCGGCACAGCAGTGGAAATATTTCCCGCGTAAGATTAAAGGTGTTTTCATTATCAGCTGGGACGTTATGAGTAAAGTCATTAAGATATCCGGATAACAATGCTTGAAATAATTATGCAGAAGCATTCCAAGATCAAGTGTGCTAGAAATCTGGTAAGTATTACTGCCGTTTACATTACTACGCGGCCACCCCAGACACAAATCGCGTCGTGTAGTTTGCAATAGACTGCCGTCAATCAAACATTTCATTCTACTTGGATGTACTCAAACTCTTTGCAATCGCTTTCGGAACTTTCCTTCAGGATATCTGACTGAGAAAGTTTGATAGAAAAGCCAACTCACTGATCCAAACGTGTATAAATGGCGTCAACATGAATGATTGACGGCAGTCTATTGCAAACTACACGACTCGATTTGTGTCTGGGGTGGCCGCGTAGTAATGCAAACGATGGTAAACACTAATCATGACTAATTCTAGTCTCAGGTTTTGACATTGTGAAGACTGTAGGAGAATTTTGAGCTTGTCGTAAATGTTTGTGATGAAACCACCTGAATTTTATCTACTTTTTGTGGCAAAATGTTTGAGAAATTTTATCGAAGATCAATATCAGGATAAAAGAAAAGCCCATTGCCTCCATTGTCATCAATGATTTATAGTGACGGAGTTCCTGTGGTTTTCGTGGTAATTTTTGCGCCAAATCGCGCCTGCTCTTCCTCTCTTTAACTCAGCACAAACAACTGGTGTCTGGGACACTAGCAATGCTATGCATATACTCATATGAACAGAAAAATAGTATATAATTCTAAGATTCAACTTTAATGTCGATATTTGCAGTGAAATATACATTGTCTTCGTTTTTAGTTTTATTTTATAGAAATTGAAGAGTTAAAGTCAAATACACAGATAGTCTACCTCCACATTCACGCTTTTAGAGTCGTCACGCAATGCTCTCTCCCTCTCTTTCGAGACAGAGCACTGTGTGACAGATCATTGCGTGACTCTCAAACGAGGCCTGCTTCAAAAGAGCATACCTTTGAACTGACAGTCTGACTGTCAAAATAAAATACACCATATTACAGAACGGTTATCGTATGAATGGGAAACTTACGGTACTGACTTGCAGCACGTAGACGGCACGTCACAGCCGTAACACTCAAATGGCTTCCAATGTTTTCGACTAAATTATCCAATCACAGCAGTACGGCTACATACAGTAACGTTCCCCACTCATACGAAAATCTCTCGAAGTGAGACCTATAAATAATATATATAATCGTGATCTACACGATGTATTTCTTATTGCTAGTAAAACTTACGTATAATACCTGAACGCGTTGTATAAAATTACAAATATTCCATTTACACAAGAAGAGTTAGTATCGTATGAAATCTGGAAATTTACATCACGGTCGTCACAGGAAACCCAAGCTTAGCTTTTGTGGGACAGAAAAACTAAAGTCGGGGTTCCTGTGGTGATTGGTTACTTAACTATGACGTGTCAGTGTTCTTATGATGGATAATTTCTAAATCGCCTGATTAGGTGAGAGATAGTTGCGAAAACTTCCATGGAATCAATTCCCTGCTAGCGGAGTCTCCCTCGTTGGCCATTCTTTACAGAGAATGGCCAACGAGGTCGACTCTATGTAATGAATGGAATTTTGAACACTATTTTATTGGTGGAGTCTGCTATTCCATCCACACTTGAATATGCCGAGTTCAGGTTTCCCCAATTTCAAGCCAAGTGTTATTCCCTAGAGTATTGTTTCTTTGTTTAATGGTTACTCATCAGAAGGAGCATGAGTATAGACCTCTTGCAGCACGTCTTGATGCAGCTCAATTTGGAGGACATAACAATAGGTTTCCAATTCTAAGGAGATTGAAATCCTTTTGTTTTGTTCTCCAAATTGAGCTGGTTTGACGTCACATGCAAAGGGTCTATAGATACAAATCAAACAAAAGAATCTCATTCTCAAGAGAATGACACGTGGTCTGAAATTGGCAAAATATTATGCCTAGGTGCACTAGGCCCACTATATTAAACTTCAATTCCAGGGGCTTCAAATAGCGATGGAACTGTTAGCTGTAATTCATAGCTGCTCCCGGAAACAGGAACGTCTGCTTCAAATATAAATTCACTGGTGAGACTAAAAACTATATACAGTTCATAGAAATGTATTTGAATTTTGACAGGTGAATCTGTGATTTATTCTGGCCCAGAACACCCGAACTATGATTTCGTCGATGCTTTGTTTTTATTCTAAATTTTGATTGGTTGCTTTGTAAAAGGACCCAGGCCCAGATGGTTTGTCCGAACAGCAAGACCGATATAAATGTGAATTAAATAATTCGGATAATTCACACTATTTCAGTAAATAATCACAGGGGCCCGGATTTAATTATCATCCGTACTCACTAATATTCCTTCCCAAAATGTTTTCTAAATAAGCTTCGGAGGCTTTATTATTTTGTATAAGATTTTGTGCCAGAATATTTAGCATTTTACGCACATTTGTTTAGCAAAAGCTAGTTTCATACACATCAAGATTTTTCTCGAGCTCGCTCAGTAATAATATACTGTACTTACAAAATATTTGAGATATAACTGATTGGCTGGCTACCGTGTTTATATCAGAGGACAGAGACGCGCTCGCGCAAAGTCGTTCAAAAGTATTTATAAAAGCAATATGAAACGGCTGCTTATGTCTTTATACTGTGATGTAAACACTCTGGGAGCTGTACAGCACTCGTATAGCAAGAGCTTGCTTCTCTTGTGTTCTACAGTTCCCAGAGTGCTTATATCACAGTACAAAGACATGCCATCGTGTTTCATTTAAATTCCTTAAATAAAAACAGATGCTTTCTGTACGTATAAGCATGAAATGAGGCTCTGAATTGTTTATGAACGGCTAGTTCTTGCAATTTATAAACATGCGCAGAAGATTTAACTTGGTACGGAAACTTAAACAAAACAAAGGAATATTGCTTGCAGACAAGCAAGAAAAATCTCAACTTTTGCTCTAAAATGTTTCGTGTTACGTGGCCTTGGTGCAAAACATTGCTGAGACTTTTACACGGATGATGATATTGCGAATGTAATATTTACAAATGAATAGTATGGATTATAAAATAAATGAACGCTATTGCATGTCATGGGAAAACAGCTAAGTTGGAGGACAAAACGAAAGAATTTCAATTTCCTGAGAATTGGATACCTATCGTTACGTCCTCCAAATTGAGCTGCATTCCCACGTACCACAAGGGGTCGATAGCCTCGTGTAGTCTCATCTCGGTGACAAAATGTCCCGTGGGGAGAGGACATAGGGAGTAACGTCTGCACACCGAGGCTATGATGTCTTCAAAACTTGTATAGTTTAATCTCCCAGTGGTTTTCCTTAATGTCGTCAGCAATGTGTGATCACATGGATGAGAACCTAAAACTTCCACACTAATTTTGCCTCGCTCAAATAACTCGGATCCTCTTTGAAAATTTGAAAAGATAGAAAAGATTCCGTACAACGAAGCGAATCCCAATAAAAAATCCATTATTTTTTCATAAAACTCAGAGTCTGTAATATTTTTGCATTATCTTTGCCACTTTTACCCGCGTTATCGTTGAGTATTCTTGCTGCTGATGAAGCATTCTGTTGAGAACTGTCTCCTTCTTCCCAGTCAGGGATACTATGGCGTGACGCAGCAGACGGTGGAGCCAGCCAATCAGGTAGTTGATCCTCATCCTGGGTTTTTGCGGGCTCTTTGACCGTTGGGCTTCTTGGAGGTGTTTTTAGTCGTCGTTGCCGAGTTTTTTTCGGCGAAACGGTGGGTGAAATAGTTTCTTGAGAGTCTATACTTTTATTAAAAATATCTGTGGTGGAGGTCGGTGCCTCGTTGATACTTCCTGAAGCTCTGCTATTCAAATGTCCTTGACTTTTTAACAAATCAAGAATAGTGGAGACCTGTTGCTCCAACTGGGTCATTTTCATGTTCATGACTTCAATTTCACGTCGGACTTCGCCTTTCATTTCCGATAAGCTCGATATGACATCAACCGAGTCTTGATAAAGTTCGGCTTTGCCTCGGAGTTCTTTTTTATTGGTATCTGGTAAAACCATTCTCTCAATAGAGTCCTTTTCGTTGAGATCAGTGAGAGAGCTCGGACCAGCGTCCAGGTACATGTCTTGAATGTCATAGGTTTGGACAAGTTCTTCAACAAGACTCAGCTTTCGTCTGTTTCTCTTGCCGAAACCCACACCACTGATTGGCCTCTTTTCGTCTGTCTCTTCGTTTTGTAGCGTTATACTCTGGGTTCTTGGACGAATTTTAAGCTAATTTTGAAAACAAGGGGAAAAATTGTCATTTCAGTTTATGCTTTTCTAGTTTTTCACCTGCCAGTCAGTAGTAAAAACAAACTAGACGCTCTCAGATCGTGAACTCGGGCTGCCAAGGGCTTGTTTGGCTGTGTTATTCATGAGCCTAGTGGCAAAGCGCATGYGCCCTAGACAGTAATTAGTAATTTGTGGCGGATAGAAAAAATAAAAATAAAAGCCAATTTATGCCTCAGGCATTCCACAGGAAGCCCGAGTAACAAAAGAATAAAACCCTATGACATACCTCATCGCGTAAATTATAAGAAAGGATGAGATTCTTGGCAAATTTAAAAGCAAACTCCGGGTAAAACTCAAGCACTTCAATCAACGCGTCTCTCTGGATGCAGTGAAGATCGCTGTACGTCAGAGCATGGACATCAACCGCTGACTGGCCGACCGTGGACTCAGTACAGATATTATCGCCAAAAACATCACCTTCACCTAACAGTGTCGTAAGAAGAAGTATTATTTTTATAATTCTTGCCCGAAGCAGTCTTTTTTTCTTCTTTTTCTCCTCCTTAGTACTCCTCGGCCACTCGCTACACAGGGTATACATGCATCAAGAGTTTCGGACTACTGCTCTACGCGCATGCTCAAAGAGGGGTCAAGAAAGGGGTTCATGGGTTTTACAAATTGCTTTATTTTGGTATATTTGTTTTGGAACTAGCTTAACGCTACTTGCTCTTGATTATTATGCCTTATTAGTATAATACAATTAAAAAATAATCAATTTTTACAACCAATGGTCGCACTTGAGCATGCACTTAGAGCAGTAGCGTCACGGAACTCTTGATACATGTATAGCGCTTAGTGACAAAATGTTGGACGCCCATAAATTTTACAAATGATTTTTGGGAAAATCTTGTTAGCATTTTTTTACTAAAGCTACTCGCCTAAAAGACCAACGACAGCCTCCCCCTGTTTGACCTCAAGCGAACCACGTGCTATGAAGTAAAGAACGTCCAAGCTCTCTCCATGATGGATAATTCTATCGTTTGGGGCCACGTGACATATCCAAAAATTTCTGGCGATTGCACGTTTGATTCCCATGGAAGCTTCTCGAAAGGCTGGGTTGTTTTCCAGTACAACTCTATTCATGTGGACACAAATGTCAGCTTGGAGATCCTTTGGGCAGAACTTGAGGACCTAGTGAAAAAAAGAATTAAATATAATAAAGATTATTACGATTGCACTAGGAATACTGCAGAGTACTATCTTGGGCCCACTTTTTACCATCAAAGAAATAATAAGATTAATATCATTACTATATAATAAAAAAGACAGCTATTGTTAATGGAGTTCCACATGTTCTATTCTTGACCCTTTTTTAAATTATAAGAATGCAGCGTAAACGACGAAAGTGCTATATTACTATAAGACCTCATAACCCTAATCATTTAACTACTGGCATTTTAAAAGACACCCCGGCTTCCCTTTGTTCATATCATCAAGCTCACTCACCTCATCTGTATCAATGCCTTTACTGGTAGCCCAAGTGGACATGAAGTAATCAATAATACGATCGGCGAGGATAGTAGGTAGTTTATAGATTTTGCTGAACTGCTTCATGTTGTCGATGATCGAATGATACTTTGCTGTGTTCTTTTGAGATTGTTGTAAGATGGCGGACACTTGACCGAAAATCAGCGAAAACAAGATGGCTAGATAAGGAAAATGATAAAACAAGGAACATCAGAAGCTCAGATTAGGCAGTACGAGGTTGAGAAAAGACTGGGTATAGTTGGCGAAAAAGACGTCCCGCAATGCATTGCAATGCCAACATGACCTAGTTTTTTCCTTGATCTCGGGATGGCTAATGGATGAGGAGGATCATGCTGCATTGTGCAGAAACGATTAGGAGAACGCCCCGAGTTATGCTCCCAGATATCTTTGCGCGACGAAACYCTTCCCAGTCTCCTGTCCTGGTTATGAAATTCAAATTCACTTTAATCGCTGAAGAGATAACATAAGGATAGTTACGGAACACGCGCAATTTGCAATGAGAACCTAACTTATCTATACAAAATAATTCTTATAGCAGACATTTATTAACAAAAAACAAAGTAACGCATACAGAAGTAACACAATACTCACATCCTAGTAGCATTGTCACGCAACCAAAAAGCTTTTCGGCCGTGGTGTTAGGAGAAATGTTTCCAAATCCAATGGTCGTTAGACTCGTTAAAGTGTAATAAAGAGCAGATACATATCGCGCTGGTATAGTAGGTCCTTTAGTCAATGTTCCGTTCACAACAACAAATGGTGAATTAATCTGGTTCGCTAGGACAAAAAGCCATCCATATGATTCATATTCATCATATTTGACTGCTATGATGTAAAAAAGACATGCCATCCAGTGTGCTACGAGACAGAATGTCAGCATGAGAAGAAAGAACGTTGATGCACCGTATTCGAGGTATTTGTCGATCTTCCTTGCTACTCGACCAAGCCTCAATAACCGGAAGACTTTTAAAAAACCAAGAAGATTTGTTATTTCCTAAAATCAAAACAGAAAAAAAGTCAATTTAGGTAAGCATTTGTTTTACAGCCAAACGCTTGGGCTATCTGTAGCATTTCGAAACAACCCCCTTTCTTATTCGGCAAATACCGCTTTCAACTTTGACGACAAACGCATTTGTTCAGGTTCAATAGGCCCTTTGCAGTTAACGATCACGTGTCTGTACTGGACTGCAAAATTTTTGTTTTTATATTAAATTGGTGATTCTTTTTAGCTACTTGTAAAGAACTAAATGAAAACATGTGTATCCAGTGTGTTACGAAATGCAGTTTTATTACGATCTCTCGAAACAGGTTATAGAAAGTTTGTTTGCAGTCCAGTAAATTTCACCCATGGGAATCAAAATGTTCATTCATTTGCTCTCAGTGAATTAATCAGCACGTGATTGCTTAGCTGCAAAGGGCCTATTAGCCTCATGTTAGCAAATCATTAGAAAAAGTCAACTGTAATGTAACTTGCATGATATCAATGTTTTGAAATCCCAAGGACTTTTAATGGTATCTTTGATAAGCTAACTTGTAAACGAGGCTAAACCTGACTGATGAGTCTGCGGTCATCAAAAACAGCGGTATGCATCGAACGAGGAAAAGAGCTATTCAAGATTAGGTCTTTAATAGTGCAAACCACTTACCGGTCCAGCTCCGTTGATAACAAAAAACAAAATTCCGTACGGTAGTGAGGAGGCCAGATCCAGCACGAACCACGTTTTTAAATAGTTCATACGTATCCTTTTCGGGTCATCTATGAGCTCTCCGTCATTACCAACATACGTGGTATGAAAGTTCAGTACAATATCGGCTATAAAGAGCCAGTCGACCAGCATATCGATGACCGTAAGAAAATTCGGGTTGTACTCGAAGCAAACAATGAAAGGAACACTGACAGTAGTATAGAGCGTAAGAATAATTATCAGCCAATCCCATGATGTCTTGAACGTACTGTAGTGGAGAAGAATTCTGGACGGTGTCTCTGGGATGTCTTGTTTGTACTCAGGGATTATGTCATCGTTCAAGGACATCAACTAAGGAAAAATGAGAATTCAAGTGATCATTTTATGGACCGTTTAAGGAAGGTGTGATTAATAATGTCACAGGAAGCACAAAAGGCACAGGAAGCCCAAGTCAGAAAATCAATTCTGTTGAAGTCATCGTTCAATAACAGCAATTAACTAAATAAAAGAAATCACGTGACCGTTTTAGCACAGTTTCCAGGTTATGGATGAAGATTTTCTTCAACCTCAGGAAGCCCAATATTGAACACAAATGATCTACTTCATTTTTGAAGAATTTGTTTAGATGCAACTATTTTTCTTGATCATCCTCTGATTCAACTCTTGCCAGAATTCTTGTCGGCTTCATTCCAAAAATCATATCGCCAACAGAAAAATAATCAAAAACAATAACAAAACGACCGATAAAAAAGGAGAAAAGAAAAAGAAAAGAAAAAGAAAAGAAAAAGAAATAAAAACGACAACAATACAATTTGTTGAAAACAGGAAGGTATCAAAATGGCGCGTCGTTCGCCATCTTCAGAATCTGTAGAATATGCTCTTACTTCTCTTGTGTCATTAAAATGGCAACAATTTTTATCAATATTGCCTTATACATAACGAAAGAAATTAGATGTAGCATTTACAAAAACCCATCTAAATATAAACCTCGAATGAACCGAATTTCCCTTACTGCGAGTAAATTAGAGAATGATACAAATCTATCGCATTGCAACAGCTATGCATTCCCATGAATATTTTTCGTACGCTCGGCGTTGTCCTTCGCGGTAGACAGGAAGACGACAATTACTCCAAAATCTAAAAGCCAATCTCAAGCGATTCAACCTGGACGTTACGGCTTGTTTTGATACGAACTACTAAGGTCTATCTATTTTCCATGCTATTCAAATGTTTTTCATGCTGTCAGTTATTCATGACTCGGTAGATTTTTTTTGTGCTCTTGAAAAGGCAGCGAGATAAGCTACAGAGTACTTGTATCTAGACATTTTCGTGTGTTGAAAGTTAAACATAAATTCGACACAAAATTAATCTGAGCCTCTGACTTCAGTGAAAAGCTGTGTTTCTTCTAGCAAAATAAACTTTGTTCAAAGAAGTCTTTAATTTCGACTTATTCTTCATGTTATTTGACTTGGAAATTTATTTTTAGATACTTACTTGTGAGATGCTTCCCTTCGACATAATGGAAGCAGGCTGGAGTAGTTTTACTTGGATTTCTTTGACATGACCTATCACGCTAATTGCTGAAATTCTTCTCTTCATCGAAAACACCGATTCACTTACTGATCCATTTTCAGTATTTTTTTCCATTTAAGCTTAAAAAGAGTTGCTTTTAGCAAAAAATGGCGGCCAACCTTCGCAATTCCTTTGAGTCTTTCTTCGCTAATGTTGTTTCGATTCCCTTGTAGATGCATGAAGGACTTTGAATAAATTTTCTTCGCATCCGGTCAATTTTAGAGGAGCATATTGACGATATTTTAATCCAGTATTTGATCGAATTGTTTAATTGTTCGCCATTTGCCATCTGTCAGGTTTCTCATAGCTGTATTGTCCAAGATTACCTTCGTTATTGTCTGTGTTTTTCCTACCTACAGTTTTTTTACATCGTATTTTTTACTCAAAATATTAATTTTTCCAAAAATTTAATTGTGAATTTTTTCAGTTTATATTTATTTTGTAGTGGACACGGTAATTGCGTTAATTGCTACTAAAACTCAAACTGTTTGTTAACAAGACTTAATTGATTTTGCCATTTGATTGGATCATAGAACAAAGTATATATGGAATATTCTTTGGAATAGACCGATAGTGAGGCTAGATAGATTACTTAATCCAATATGACAGTCTTTCCAGCTGATCTGACGTCATTGCAAAACTGAGGTGCCATTGGTCACCGAAAAAAAAAAACATGTCCGCCATTAGACTTTTCTCAATTTTGATTGGCTAACACTTTTTCTCAGATCAGTCGGCGGAGGCTCTAAAACTTCTTAAAAAACGACAAGTAGGGTTACGAGTTGAAAGTTCGTTATATTATAACGAGTAGAGAAAATAATCCAGGAAAAGTCTTTCCATCGAATCATATATTTGTCTTTAAAAATCCCTTCAACGTCAATTCGAAATTTGAGTTTTTCGGATTGGAATGAAATGGATGTTCCGGTAAATTAAAACCGTTCTTGAGCAGACGGCGCATGCTTGATTGATCTATACTGCTGAACTTGAGAGGCGAAGGTTGAGAAAAATATTTTTCAAGAAACCGCAAAAAGCATTGACAAAGGCATTAACAATATTGGCGGGAAATGAGAATACGCGTCTGTAAATTGCTCTTGAGCTGAGTGTTCTTGCTTTTCAAGCAAATACCGATGAAACGTTAAAGCCAACTTCTTGGAAATGACTTGATTTCGTTTACTGTATCATCAAACACTGAATGGATGGAAGAGGCCATCATGGTCTCTTGATGGATAATAATATCATATTATGGACTGAAATTTTTTTTCATTTTTAACCGTTTTTTTGGGGGGGCTATATTTTCCAAGCTCGTCGTCGCCATTATTTTGTACGATGTCAAAGAGTACTCACGTGATTGATCTGTTGGGCGTTCTTTTGTGACGTGCTTTTCTGTTTGAAGGCTACCAAGACACTTTTGGAGTTTCTTGTGAGTGATTTGTTTAGTCTTGCCCAGCCCTTTGTTCCTCCTGCATCTGAATGAGATAATAAACATGTAAACAACAGGTAGACAAATGATGGTAAAAAGATAAGCACACAGACAGACAGACGGACGGATAGACGGACAGACAGACAACAAACGGACAGACAGACGACCAGAAAAACAGACCGACGGACGGACAGACAGAAAGACAACCAGACAGACAGACATGCAGAAAGACGGACAGACAGGCAGACATGCAGAAAAACGGACAGACAGACAGACGGAAGTATGGTCTTAAGGAGACACATCAATATTCTCKACTTTCACATCCCCATAATACTTTGCGTCTTTGGGAGTAACCAGAGGGTAAAAACCCACTTATTTTGCGGAAGGCTGATCAGACAATGTTGAAAATACCTTGTTTGGTTTTCAAAGATAAAATGAAGAAGTAAAAAACTCCACTCTAGCCACATATGATACCATGCCACATATAGTTTTTTACCTGTTCCAGGTATGGGGTCTTTGTAATCTGTAATGTCTTTAAGGGTGAATAAGAATAATACCACCTCTCCTTTCTCGTTGACGATCGGTCCAATATGCAGCAGACACCACATAGGAGTCCCTGTATTGATACAGAAGATAGTAAGGATGTGGTGGTGTTGGTGGGTGCAATAAAGCTTTTGTGTCAACACATAAGGTAGTAAAGGTGGAGAGGGTGCAATGAAGATCTTGTGACTGGTAAGACTGGTCGCAATGGGGAGGTGGATGGGACAGCGAAATTCTTGAATAAAAGGGGAAAAAAGTTTTTATTTGGGGGTTGGGTTAAGGGAGGAAGGGTAGACTAAGGTTGGAAGGGAAAATAATAAAAAAAATTCCGCTGGTGTAGGGTTAAGTTACTCCAACATCAGCAAGGGTGGGGTGATGAGTTGTGTAGGACCACAAAGGTCGTAAGGTTGGGGTGGCTTAGGATCATAAAGTCCTTGAAGAACAAGGACTTTGCTACTCACCATCTTTCTTATAAAATATGATTTCTATTTGTAAAGCATGTTTCTTGAGCAAAGCTTCTCGGATCTGTTTTGTAGAGTCGTCTTCTGTTTGGTCGCCGTAAAGAAAGCTGCAATCACAGCATTTTTTCATTACATCTGACCTCGCGAAGCCTGTCAACTTACAAAACCCATCGCTGCAGTAGACCACCGGGTTATCGAGGATTTGGGCATTACCCAAGATGAAATTGGGATCTGTTGTGTGGGAGAGATAAACAAAAGATATCACCTAATAAACTATAGGAAGAACTATGAGAACTACATATATGAAAGAAGGAAGGAAGGAAGGAAGGAAGGAAGGAAGGAAGGAAGGAAGGAAGGAAGGAAGGAAGGAAGGAAGCATAAAGGGAAGGAAGCAAGGAAATAAGGAAGCAAGGAAGAGGAAAATAAATCACATATCAAGACAAGTTTCATACCTTAGTTATTTT